TTTAATAACAAAATAATCGAAGACATTTTCTAAAACCCAGATAACACATGGAAAAGTGAATCTTTTGATAACAGTTAGTTCTTTTTCTTGTATTTTGCATAGTTTGGTAATTTATTTTATATGAGCTAAATTCGAAAATTAAAGTAAAAAGCTGATTGTTTTGCAACTAACTTCAAGTACCCTCATTTCCTTCATTGTCCGGCAACGACAAAATTAATCTAATCGGAATTCTGAGTACGGAACTAATTTTTTTACAGTTTAGTAATAATTTTTAATTTCATTCTAATTTCAATAATTTTCTGCACCGCAAACTATTTTATAAACTAGTAATAGTGAAACTTGTCGCAAAACTGCAATAAGTCTGAAATAAAACGTGTTTGAAGCACAAAACAAAAGCGCACAAAGCAGCGACAATAGTGTAAAAAAAGCAAAAAAAAATAAAATAAAACAAGTAAAAATTGTACAAAAAGTATACCATTTTACATATACACAACTAGATTAAAGCACAAAATCAAGTAGTAGTACATATTTTATAACAATAAATGCTTTCCAACGCTTGGAGAAACGTACAGCAGGGTGTTGTACGCAATCTGACCGCTGCGTATTTTCGAGGTGTGTGCAGTGCCGGACGCCCGCTCGCTTGTGCAAGTGCAAATGCACTTAACATCAAGCGGAATAGCGCGGAATTAATGTCGCTGCGACGTTTTGACATCAAAAGTGATTGTTTATTTAAGACTTTTGATTGCATTGCAGATTAGATAAAATACATATGTAATTATGTGAACCAACAATTTTTGCTAAAATTCTGTATTTTTCCTTTTGCAGTACAAAAGTTACTTAAAGTTGGTATAAACAGAATGCATAGCTCTGTGGAGGATTTAAAATGGGCTTCCATGCATGTAAAGGTATTGCCCGCGCTTCAGGACAATTTCATGTATTTGGTAAGCGGGCAAATACATATGTAAATGAATAGACGTTTCACTTCTGAAATTAATGCTTCCTTTCTAGATTATCGACAACTCAACCAAGGAGGCTGCCATTGTTGACCCGGTTGATCCGGAAAGTGTTATAGCTGCTGTGCAAGCTGAAAATGTGCATCTTACNGAAGGTATTGCCAGCGCTTCAGGACAATTTCATGTATTTGGTAAGCGGGCAAATACATATGTAAATGAATAAACGTTTCACTTCTGATATTAATGCTTCCTTTCTAGATTATCGACAACTCAACCAAGGAGGCTGCCATTGTTGACCCGGTCGATCCGGAAAGTGTTATAGCTGCTGTGCAAGCTGAAAATGTGCATCTTACTAAGGTGCTTACCACGCACCATCACTGGGATCATGCTGGCGGTAATGAGAAATTAGTTAAGATGTATGGCAAGCCGCTGGAAGTGTACGGTGGTGATGATCGCATTGGTGCACTAACGCAAAAAGTGTCTCAAGATGATCGCATACAGATTGGGAACCTTAAAGTGAGTTGCCTTTTTACCCCTTGTCACACCACTGGACACATTTGTTACTTTGTGGAATCGTCAAATACTGATGACCGCGCCGTTTTTACCGGCGATACTCTATTCCAAGGAGGCTGTGGGCGTTTCTTTGAAGGCACACCCGATCAAATGTACTCGGCATTGTGCCAAAAATTGTCTTCCTTACCGGATGATACTAAAGTTTTTTGTGGTCATGAATATACATTGCAGAATATGGCATATGCGCGTCATGTAGAACCATTGAATGATAAAATTTTAAAGCGCATCGAATGGGCAAAGTTACGCCGCGCTACCAAATCACCCACTGTGCC